GTAATACGAGAAGGAGCCAGGGCTATCTGATAGGTTGAAACAGTAGGAGATTTTAGGCATCTGCAATGCTGGACTGCAAAGCATTGGGGTTAAGTTTATATCCTCTCCATCTCTTCCTCCCTGAACTAATCTCTAAAATGACTGACGTTTGAGTGTGTTTGTGTGTGTGTGTAGTGTGTGTGTGTGTGAGACTATTCATGCATTTATCTACTGAACAAAAGCCTTTTCTGAAAGCCTGTTTCTGTGTTTTGAGCCCCCAGTCCTTTGCTTTCTTAGATATCTTCCTTATCCATGTCACAACACTGCATCAATTCCAGAGAAACAGAGAGCAACTTAGAGATCTTGAAGCTTTGCTTGTGTGACATTCTCCTTTGTGAGCTCAATTTAGATCTTCTATTCAGTAGCACATATGGGACCAAAGACTCTGTATTCCGGTTCTCCACACCCTTTCTCTTCTTCCATGTTCAATCAGTCCTATTACATTTTCTCCTATGACTTTCCTATGTTCTCTCTTGGGATCTCAAGATTTGAAAAATTCTCATTGTGATGGAGGTTTGGCCAGAGTGACAGATTTTGGCCCTGAGTAAGCTGTTGGAACTATACCAGCTTTTTCTTCCAGGTCATCTACAGATAGTCGTACTCAGCAGACCCAAATAAGCCTCTATGGAAGCTTCCTGCTTGCCCAGGAGAAATGTGGGACATGTATTATTCAACTGCAGCCACGCTCATATAAACGTTTTGACTTTGGGAATAATCAACTCCATGATACTACATAATATATATAATATATAATATATAACATATAATATATAATATATATATATTTTTTAACTATTTTATTTACTTTTTATTTACTTGAGAGAGAAAGCAAGAGAGAGAGCACAAGCAGGGGGAGGGGCAGAGGGAGAGGGAGAAGCAGACTTCCCGCTGAGCAGGAAGCACACTCAGGGCTCAATCCCAGGACCCTGGGATCATGACCTGAGCCGAAGGCAGACGCTTAATTGACTGAGCTTCCCAGGCGTCCCTCCATGATACTATTCTTTTAAATAAAATTGAGCCAATGAGTCTACACTCGGTGTTTTCAGTAACTGCATGTTACAAGAACAAATAGCAATTGCAGTATTTTTAGCTTTACTTTTCAGTAGTAAAGTAGTTTTTGAAATCAGCTCAAACAACTGACCTTGCAAAATCGGATTTACCCTACCACACTTGGTACAAGCACAGGACCTACAGCCAAACTGAGTGACTCTGTGAAGTATTAGCACAAAACCAATCTTCCCCACAGGTCATAGTGAAAATAATAGTAGGTATGTTGTTTTTCTATTTTTTAAAAAAGGCTTCCAAACCTTTTCACGTGTATGGTCTCCTTTGATCTTTACAATGAAGATGGTTTAGGCCCCCAAGAGATGTAGGCAAGCTTAACTAATTTAAAATATTGCACTGCAGACTTTGTGATGAGCCAGTCGAATGCATTCAGGAGCTTCCAGTGCGGAATCTCTCATAGGCTAAGCTCATGTTACCCATGATACACCATTAGCATCATATGCTTTCAGGACCCTGGAATTGCAAAGTCATTGTCTACAGAAATGGACTATGACCATTTTGCTGGTGCTCCCCAGTACAATTCTTTGTCACCACAGATGTTGCCTAAACACAGCTGTCCCCCATATCTTGCTTTAGCAAGAGGGACCGACTTCCAGTCATCCCACTCATCTCAGCTGTGACAAGGTCTGGCTGATAAAGGGAGGCAGCCAAGCCAAACACTTACTGCAAGCCCTCACCAGAGTTTGCCAGGTCTAGCTACCTCCATGCATGTGAGTATGTCAGTGGGGTGTCCGCCCCAATTTTCCTTGGGTGAGAAACTCATGCTTCTGTAAATAAATAAATACCTAGAAAAATTCACTACTCTGTCACAGATGGCAGAGAACTGTGTTCTGTGTATCTGACTATTCCCTTAAGAGCACATTTTCTCTTCATCCTAGGAATGCTATCAAACAAACCGTGGTTCAATACTGGCATCCTGTGGCCAGAGATATTCATCAAATCTCGGAAAATCTCAGATCCTCGGTTCTGAACATGCCTGGCTATCTGTACCAAGCAGCTCTTCACCATTTCCTGAAAGCTGTTCATCTGCTTCACATTGTTTGTGAAAGCCCCTTAGGTGAGATGTGTTTTGATCAACTCTCATTTCAGAAGGCTAATGCATTCATATACATCAGGGTGAAAACAAAAGATAATAGAAATTCTAGAGACTGTTACCCAACAACACCAACAAAAATCTAATATGAAATCGCAGAAGCTCTCCAAGTTCACACTGAGCTTTTTCCTAACAAGGAGGCAGTTGGAAAAAGAGGCAAGGTGGTGGGCAGCACTCCGCTGTTCCGTGTGTCTATGTATGAGTGTTTTGTTTTGGCCAAAGGCGAGGAAACTACTTGCTATTGCAGCAATAAATATTATGAATTTTCTTTATTTTCCTACAAGAATGCTGCCTAAGAGGAAAATCAAACAAAATTATGGAGGATTGTTGTTTTTTGCTACTCACTTTCAAGGCGGCTATAAAGATAAAGGGTTACAAGGCTCGCAATTTAAAGGCAAAATTGCCATGCTCCCTGGTAAGACTTAATGGCATTTTGAGATCCAAATAACCATTATGGGACTACTGCATTGCGGCTGCTTTCACAAACGGCTACACTAAATTTGGAGTCCTTGGAGATGTTTGAAACATCATTAGAGACGGAAAAGCAACAAAAACCTTCAAAATCACACAAGCATGGAAAACCATCAAAGAAGGATCAAGTATGAAAACTGGCAGCTGGTAGGCACTGACAAAGAAAGGGTGCAATATGTACATGGTAGTGATAGGAAAGGATGCTTAGAGTTGGCGGCCTCCCAATGGGAGGAGCACAATGCCTACTGCGCAGGAGAAAGCACAGAACCTGCTCTCTCATCACCCTCTGCCTCCTCATCATCCAACTCTAGGGCTACTAGCTCTCTCTTCATCAATTCACCTGCTCTCCCATGGCGCTCAGGGGTTTCAAATGTCTCTAGCCAAGATAGGAGACAGACACAGACCTCAAAATGATGAATGCCTATCTGTTCCCAACATTGGTAATGAGGACAGCAATTCTCAGGAATAGTTATTGTTAAACTAGATTCTTTTTTTTTTTTTTTTTAGGAAAGCCTCTATATCTATTGCCTGCAACAGAGAAAATGTAACTAAAAATATTCCACAGATAACTAGTGTGATCTAACAGGAAACAGAGATTAAATACCCTGTCAGACAAGCAGTGTGCCCGGGTTAACCTTAAGGAGCCCAACTTTTAGAGTAATACCTCTTCAGGGATTCAGTGTTGCTGGCTAGAAAACAAAATTCAGATATAAATAGTAGCATAAGATCTAAAGATACCAAATACCAATTAAAAGCTAATGAAGAGTAGTAGCAAAAGTCTATTTTAAATGGCTGACTTCTAAATGAATTTGGGTAACACACTGGAGGGTCAAGAGATATATATACATATTTCAGGGTTTTTTTGTTTTTTAGTTTTAGTAACTGACATTATTTATTAGCAGTTTTACCAGAAATATCAGAAATCTCCCTGAACTTCATACTGGGCTTTTAAAAATTAATTATGGTTAAAGAAGTAAATTAAAATGAAAGATAAGAACAATAGTTGTTTTCTAAACTCACTAAACTCACCAAACTGATCAGCAAGAACATAGATGTTCTTCTGGCTACTTTTTTTTTAATTTTTTTTACTTCTTTCTTGTCCCCCAGGCACCCACTTTAGAAAGAGCATGGACTTTGAAGTCCAGCAGATGTGGGCTCAAATCCTAGCTCAATGGTTTAAAATCTGTACACTTAAAAATAAATTCTATATCTTTCTGAGTCCTGGTTTCCCATCAGGTATAGAAAGAACAAACAGTATCTCACACAGGGAACTGTGGAAGATGGGATGAGCTGATGTGAGTGAAAGGCTTCACTCAGCACAGCCCCTGACAGAGAGGTAGGCTTTCCACAGAGACTGCTCCTAGGCACCCTGTCTACCTACTCATATCCTGTATTTCCTCTTTCCCCAACTTACCTGGTCACCAAGCCCTTTGGGTTTTTCTTCTTTAACAGCTTTCACTTTCTCTTGGACCCTGCCAACATCGTCCATGTTCAGACCCTTCTTCATCCTTGTGTAGGGTCACTGTGATTACTACCAATCCTGAGTCTTTTCAGTCTTGATCCTCTCTAATCCATCCTCACTCTACCCAGCATGATTTTTATAAAATAAAACACTACCTGAGTTTGAATTCTAGCTGGTCTACTTAGTATCTGCATGACTTGGAACAACTCACATGAATTCTTCCATGATATAACTCAAAAATCTCTAAAAGGGGGATGAGAACTTTTGCTACCTCAGAAGGTTATTATAATGAAGAAATAAGGACATATTCTGTGCTAACACACAGAAACCACACAATAAATTGTGAATTGTTATTCTTCTCTTCATCGTTCTTGCTGTTCTTATGACTTTTCTGTGATTCACATGCCTATTAAATAGGGTTGTGTCATAACCCTAATATTTAGGATCCCTGTGGGTCTTTGTCTCACTCCCTACCAAGCCTCATAATCGCTCAGCAAATAGCATGTTATGATATAGAATCAATAAACTGAGTTCAACCCAAAACAAAAAATAAATAGGTTAGTAAGGGATTTAGGAAAGCAATTAGGTCATTTATAGAACTGCTGATAAAATTCTATCTAAAAAAGCTGTTCTCTTCAGACGTGATCAGAGCAGCTCAAACTAAATATCCTGAAAGGATTGAGTGGCTGTACCCTAAACATCTTTCCCACTTTCCATCTCCCAGTTCTAATTAAAATGCAATAATGTATTTGAACTAGGAATTGCCTTACTTATATTTTTAAACTTTAAGGAGGGGAAGGGATGTACACACATATGGGTTTTCTACAACATGGTCTCTCAAGAGGTCCTGAAACTGTATAAAAGTCTTACCTGACATTCTTCTAAACCACTTGGGTTTCTTGTCCCATATAATAAAGAGATAGTATGCAGGAACCCCAGTCAGAGTAATGATGAAGCCAATTCCTGTACTAAATGGGTCCGAATACAGAGAAAGGGCAACCATGAAGAGACACGTGAAGGAAAACAAAGCTGGGATGAACAGCGGCACCTGGAACACAGCATGGGGGAAAAAAATCACTTCAAACAGTTCCAGAGACAGAAGATGGATTCAAGAGAAGGACATCAGTCAAAGGATCAGATGATCCCACTGGTCACATGAGCAGGTAACAGGCACCATCCCAGCTTACCTTAACAGCAACAGCTTTTGATAGGCACAGAGAATGTAGCAAACATACTCCCTTAAATTTTTTTTAAATCTTTAAATAGAATAAAACCCGAGGATAAACAAGTGTGTTTCATTAGAGATGTTTTGTTTAAAAGGTTTGACTAGAGAAGTACAATTATGATTTATGTTTTTGATTTTAACAGGTTGGCTCTTTGATAATTATGATTAGAATCTGCTTTAATGTAGAGTCAAGAGCACAGGCTGCTTGTTACATGTTAAAGCCTTACAGTGCGTATTGATTTTCTGTTGGAGATTCACAATAAGAACTGACAGGAATAAAACAGACCAACTCCTATTCAACCGCTAATAAAGATGTTGCTCACATTAGACAACAGATGTAATTAGAAACAAATTCTGACAACATGACTGACAACATTATCTGTGTTATTTCTTAAAAGCAAATAAACAGTTCGGTCAAATCAATCTATGAACGTTCACGGCTAAAGGAGATGAGAAATATATTCGCCAGCTCTCCCAAAAGGAAATGCTTATAGTAAAGGGTATTCTATTAAGTGGTACATTCATACACCTGCACTTTCCTATGTAGTTACACTTTTATTCCTTTATATATTCCTTCTAGAATATATAATGTAAAAAAAGAGCAATGTCCCAAGTCATAACATTTAAGAATACTTAAAACGCCCATTTTGTAAAGCAGCTTCCTTTTTAGAGTTTCAGTTAGTGACAATTCCACACGGGTCTGCCCCCCTCTTTCTCAACATGGCTACCCACAATTACTCAGCATAAAGATACAAGTATCCCACACTTTGAACACATCAGGTCGTTAGACACATCCTAGAAAAAGCAACATAACAAATACCCTGTGTATCTACCCCTTTTCAGAGACGTGACATACAGAGTTGAGTCCGTCACATAAATGCCAGGATGAATTATTTTTCCAAGCTCAAATAAATTCAACATGAAGGCACTACCTGCAAGAGTTAAACATTTTGTTCCAGAGGATGCTGCCCCCCACCCAAGCTCCTCATCATCAAGTTATGACAAAGGGAGGACTAGGTATTAGAAGAAAGATTTATGTAAACCCATCAAGATTACTGAGGTTACCTTGAAAGGACGATGCATATCTGGGTGTTTGTATCGAAGATAAATCAGCCCAGCAACCGCCAGCCCAATAAAAAGCCACCTGGCAAAACTGAGGAAATTCAGAAGACTGTAGAGGTCCCCAGAGAAGAGCATTATCATCGTCAAAGGGTGCTAGGGGGAAGTAAGGGGGAGAGAGACCAGGCTGGGTGAGTTAAAAGAGAGCACAGCTAATAAAACAATCAAATCACTACACATTATGATCATCTTTTTCATATGATATTTATACTGATAAACTACCGCAGTGATTAAAACCTATATTCAACTAACTTCCTATCTATATTCTGCTCTTATACCCCATTACGCACCAGTGACGGCATGAGAAGGTCATCATCATTACCACTTAATCAGATGGAATGTCACATGGATGTTTAGTTCTTAGTTGTTTTTTCATTTGAGAGAAGAGAACATGTTTTCAGAGAGTGAAACACAGGATATTCCATGACTTAAATTTAAAGGCCCAGAGATTGAGATGATTAGCAAATAGCTAATACAAAGAATCAAAAGTGTACCCAATTAGAAAATTTGCCGAGCCCTCTGTAAATGGTTACTGACAAGGCCTTGGCTATGCACAAGCATGAAACACAGCCACTTCGAGGTGACTCTGTCATCCCCTGAATGCAAAATAGTGACCTTTCCTTCCTCCACATTTACTCTCCCTGTGTGCTGGCCATGTGTGACCCTCAAGACCGCAGAAAAGAATGGAGCTCAGAGATCAGCATAGCAAGTTTCTGCAGCTGCACATGCCAAGGACAGCACAACTGATGGGAGAGGCTTAAAATGAAAGCTCTCTCCACCGAATAATACATTCTGTTCCCACAAGTGACTTTAACTTCCAGATTCCATGCAGAGAGTCCGCAGACTTTACAAAGAGATTTCAAGGAAACATTCTGAAACAGATTAAACGCATGAAACAAAATGTCCAATGTAGTCTATGGTGTTCCTGACAGCAGAGTCCATTTGACAAAAAATGTTACAAAAATAGTAGGTGAAAATGAATATAACATTGCCAATGGGTACTAGATCGGATTTTTATACCCTACGCAGTTTTTGTGCATCCCACGCTTCACAAAGACTTTGCTTTAAGAATTCTAAAACTCTACAATCTTTCACAATTCTACAAATTTCAGTTTGGGTGCTTTTATTTCTTCCCTTTAAGAGTTGGTCTCAAATACCTCACTTTTAATCATGGAATTCCTGCACTGTCTAGGACTTCAAGCAATTTTTTCTGTTAATTTTGCATGCATTTCCTTATAAGGGGCCTATGATACTGTATTGTACATCTAGGCTTTTAGCTCCTGTACTGTGGCTTTTAGCTCCACTTTCAGTACACAGAATTGGGACTTGTTGCTCTATATCGTTTCCTGAGTGGCTCTGGGTCACTGACAGGAGCCTAGGTAATCACTTCCCTTAGACCTCGCAAATTTCGACAAAGGCGAAAAAGAAGTGGTGTGGTTATTGCCCCATAGCATCAAATATGCATCGGAAATACTGAATAAAGGGAAGCGATGGAAAATATCCTGCGACCCAAACTCCACCAAGGTACACACAGAGCCAGTTCATCAATGAATGAGAAAGTAAAGCACTATCTAACATCTGCTTTGAAATCCTCCTTGCTAACCTGTTATTCAAGCTTATATCTAGGTATACTTTTTAATATGCATTACCAAAACAATAACAGCTGGCAGAGGAGTGTGCTTGCGGACATGAATCATGGAGAGGATTTCTGGAAGGTGACCCTCTCGAGACGCAACATAGAATAACCTGATGGGAGAAAAATGTGGGTGGAATTGACTGTATAATTGATCATTTCAAAGGGAAAAATCCAGAAATCTACGAGAAAACTTGCATCTAATTCGATACCAAATGGTTTGGCATTTCTGAGGTGATTACTTCTGTTTCACTGTTCAGGTAAGGCAGAGAATCATCAAGAGAAATCGGACTTCAAATTGTATAAAATCTGCCAACGTATTCTCTTATTCTTTGAGGAGAAACAATAGCAACATCCGACTCAGCATGGCTCTCTCGCTGCATATAAATAGCTCTGGATTCCCAGGATTGTATGTGCGCTATCAATTCAATACAGCCCAATATACAAACACATGCACACATACACACACACGTACAAACACAGACATGCCCATGTACACACACCATTTACATTTTTCTGATTGGATCTTAATCTTATGTTAAAATAAAAGGGAATTTGGCATCAAAACAAAAGGTATACGGATGATGGGGTGGTGATTTCTGGTGTCTCTTACTCTACTTTTTTTCTTGTCACCTTTAGAGAAACGAAAGATTTTATCACCAGAAATAAAATGCTGTTGTTAGACTCTGTAGACATACTGTTAAAAAAAAAAAAAAAAAAAAAAAAAGGAAAGAAAGAAAGAAAAAAGAAAAAGAAAAGCTCCATGCCTGGCTTCAGCATGGGCTATGAGTAGACAAGCAGTGCCCTCTAATGGGCAGAACGGGACGTGCTGTTGCTACTTGGACCAAGACTTCGATCTTACATGTCTCTTTAAAAACAACAGGTTTGGAGGCACTATTTCTTTTCTTTTTAAACCTACCCTTATCACATCCAATCTCAAAAACAGAAATGCATTTCTGGAAATGCTTGAACTCACTCACCTGGAGACAGCAAACACACCACCATTCATGGAGCCAAAGCAGGAAAGGGCAACAAAGATCGGAACTGCTAATGAGAAATTTCCCAGTAGCCGCTCAGAAAAGGTCTAGTGAAAGACAGAACGAAGCAAATTAATGCTCTGCCAGAAAGTGGAATAAAATGAAGCAATTTAGGCCAAACTCGCTCTATGACTTTCTTTTAGCCTGCTGATACGTGTATGTTTTATAATTCTTCTTTTTGGTTAGGGTCAGACTAACTTCTTAGACAATAATCAAAAGCAAGTACCATGGCATTGCTTCTTGCAAAACTATGGGCAAAGGTCTAAACAAGCACCTTCTCTCCACTTTCAAAAAGCAACGATCCATTTATTGAATCTTTATCAACTGTGGTATCCACATTCTCTGATTCTGGTAAGTAGAAAAAGCTCAGTTCAGAGGTTCTCCTATTAGAAACAGAAATCCTTCTGCAAAATGCCTTCTCTGTAGCCTGGAAAGCCACATTTTGATAGTGAAATACAAATGTCCACTGAGAAGTATCACAGATACTTGTTTCTTACACCAGCCCTCCTGTTATGACACAGAAATACCAGTGAGACATGACTGATGACTCAATCATTTATGCTGCATACACGAGCAGTTCTGAAAATCTTTTGCTCCAAATAATCACAGTAGCTGAATGTCTGTTTATTGAGTCCCTTCCTCCCTCTCAGGTACTTGCCAGTTCCTTCTGTGGCTTCCTATAAAAAGGCTAGAATACAAATACAAGTCTGGGAAAATAAAAAAAGATAAACAACAAAACTTCTGGAATTTCCTTTTATGCCACGGCATAGGCAACACTGCAAATTTCCATAAAGGATGTATTTAAAAAAAAAAACATACACACACACACAAACTACATGGGATTCTTTGAGTTGTCCTTGATGAGGCTGGTGCTGTGTAATTAATGAACCACATTACGCTCACAGAGTAAATGCTGCCCTTTGTCTACTAAGCTGAGATGACTGACCTGACATCAGCAAGCTCTGGACACTGCGTTTCTGATAGGAATTATAGCAGTGGCAAATTCTTTTTTTAATACAGTGGACACGTACATAGGTTCACATGAAATGAGATAATTTGTTCCCCATGGGTATTGCCAATATGAGGTAATAGTGACTATTTTAAAAAGAAATGACATCTAGTGATGGGAAGTTATTTTTTCACCCTTCATTGTTATGAGGTCATGAATAAATGCCCCCTTACCAGCTAAGTTTTTATACAAAAAAAAAAAAAGTATGTGTCACAGAATAACAGTCCAATAACATGAACTTTGAAAGCAAGACAGTCCTGAAGTCAAATAAATTTTGGAAAATGCTGTAAAATTATGAGTATCCACTTCTTACAGAGCTAAATTGCACATTAGTATCCTTAACATTCTGATAAGTGCTATAGCAATGACATCTGTTTAACTTTGAATAACTCAATAATTCCAAAAATTAATAATATCCCATTACTGGTATTCAAAAAATATACTAGAACAAACAAATATATATAGTCATCCCTTGGAAATCCTTAAGTGGTACTTTGGGAAAAAAAGACTTTAAGTTAGCATTTGAAAAGTTTACAAACAGGAAAGGGTACAGAATAAATTACAATTTACATACCAAAAAATACCTTCATTTAAAGTCAGGAACTGCCCAACTGCCCACCTATCATGAAAGTCATGTTGGAAGAACACTATCTTCCATTCAACATGCACACATAAAAATGTGTTTTCAAGCATGAATATGGGGAAACGTTTTACACGAAATGAACAATGCAGAGAAATCATATAGGATTTGGGCTGTATCAGTCAAATGGAGTATGCCAAGGTGTGCCCTAAATGTTTTAAATGCTCATGATCATTCAGGTCAAGAAAAGATTACTGAATTTCAAAACACTTGCTGCTGGAGGGAACTACTATGAAATTGCATCAACTCATTAGCCTAAATTCAAATGGGCATTTTTCCAACTTGGACTTACCACCGCCACTGCATTTGAAAGCAACAGCTCCTCAGCACTAATGGTTGTAAAGTAGGCCACATTTGTTAGCACATAGCCAATGGTGACGATGGCCATGGATATACATATGGCAAGGGGGATGTTTCTGAAATGCACAAAGGAATTGTTTATTAGTCCTCTTTTGTTAGTCATTCTCTGACAGCAAAGATGATCCAATAACAGGCTAATTCAAATAAAGAATAAAATAGTATTATGATAATTACAGGCTCTGTTGGGTATGCATATTTTATCAGGGTGAAGTACTACAGAGTTCTTTGTAATTTAATAAGGTCATGGGACCAGATACTTCATTTGTCTTGTCTGCTGCTCTACCCCCAGAACACATGGGTCCGTCCCATTCTTATGCTCCATAAATGCTATAGTGTTTCTCACACTTGATCATGCATCACCTAGAGGGCCTGTTGAAACACAGTTTGCTGATCCCATCTCAGAGTTTCTGACTCAGTGGGATTTGCATTTCTAACAAGTTCCTCTGCAATTGAGCTGCTGCTGGCCAGGGACCCAAACTTTGAGAACCATGGGCCCATATACCTTTCGAATACTAATTTACTGCCTTGACACCTTTCTAATCCTAGACCCCAGGAAAAGTCTTTGACATTCAGCTTTTCCCCTTCAGTAACTTCCTTATCAGCAAGTAAGTTGTACATTTCTGAATGTATGAGAGCAAGACGTATCTATCATTCCAAATGATAGTAATGATAATTTTATATATAACACAAAAAGCACAGAAGGACTCGCAATAATGACTTTGCACTGCCCTGCTGTGAGTTCAAAGGAAGCTCAACATCATGAGTATCTATTAAAGCAACAGTGCAGATAATCCCATGAAATTAGAGGTGACATGCTGTGAAGTACATATGACCGGACCGTGCTGACACTCTGTGGCAGCCACAAGTACCGGGCACAAATGCAATGTTATGTCTTCATTTAATGCACCGAGAAAGCCAGGAGTTACTGACCCTAATAATTTGATTCCATGTTACCGATACACATTACTTGCTTAACATAATCACCTCTTCAGACTCTTTCCAGTTCAAGCAACTTAAACCTTCAGCTCCCTGCACAAAGGCTGATGGATTTTTTAGCCATACAGCTTATCAGCCCTCATGGAGCCTTAACCCTGCTGGGTGCCACTAATGAAGACCTCAATATCATTTCTTCCAAGATGAAAATACAGTTCAGAACTGGGAGGGGGGGAGGGGGAAGAGGCACAGCCTGCCTCACTCCCCAAGCTGGGTATGTTTAGGACACGAAGTCCCAGCTCATTATGCTGAACAGCACTATCCCCTGTTGAGAACGGGCAAACCTAGCCAGTCAGCAACTGCCATTCATTATGCTGCTTGGAGCCTAACACTTGCCCTGATCTCCAAAGTCTTAAGCCTTGATGGGGAAACACATCGACCTCTAAATCCTGGCATCCTAATATAAAAGTAGCAGATGTTCCCCTTCCCCAGTGTGAAGAGGGTCCTGTGGAATTTTCTGTTAACACCATAACATGCATTGCTAGTTGTGATTGATAAATGCTAAATTTAAGGAGAGGAAATCACCGGGCCAATTAAATACAAAGGAGTGAGTGGCGTAAGGCATATTAAAGATGAATTCTGTCTCTCTGAGAGAAAGACGAGATGTAAATGCAAAGGGCTAAGAAGGCAAACATGAAGGTATATGTGCAGTTTTTCAACCACTCACAGTATTATTTTAAACTTGAATCTTTTCTGTTTTTATAACATCCCAAATGGTGTGTTAAACTCCTTCTCTGGAGGAGAGAAGCAGAGAGGGAGAGGGCGAGAGAGAGAGTCTCTATTCCTTGCAAGGATTCGGGATTAAGAAGTGTAAAGTTTCTGTTAATAAAAACTGAGGTGACATTGTTAAGTGCAGTGAAGCAACTAACCTGTCCGGGACAGGTAGTCCTGTCACATCGTACGGTGCTGCAAATTAGCAGGGACAAGTCGGTCTGAAACGTGGGCTGTGGCCCTCCCAGCAAACTCTAGCCTCTGCTCAGCTCTTCCAAGGAAACCTCCCCGCCTCCTGCTTCAAGATTATGGTACATCTGAGGGAAGTTTTCTAAATTGATTTTAGCAGAAGGAATCCTAAAAAAAAATCCAACTTTTTTTTTTCTCCGTTTGTCAATGACAAAAACTATAGCAAATAGCTGCTGCCGTTTACTTGGTGGCCGTTATGTGCCGGATATTTTATTACGTACTTTCCATATTTGCCTCATTTAATCTTTGGAAAATGCTGTGCGTTAGGAGCATCATCGCCATCTTAATATGTGAGGACATGAAGTCTTAGAGAGTCTAAATAGCTGTTTAAGGATATACAACTGGCAAACGGGAACCCGGAAGTCAGCCGATCGATCCTCGCGGAAGTCGCAGCAGTTTAACCATGAAAGCGTACTCTCTCTCTTTCTCTCCCTCTCCTGCGTGTGGATCCTCAATCTCTCCACTCTTAATTTTCAGAGAAATCATAACTGTTGAATATGCTTACTGCAAATCTCCTAGCAAGACTGTATTTCTCATGTAGTCACTGAAAATGCAGTTTTATTTACCAGAAAGGAGGAAAAAGAGTTATTTCATGATTTTTATCATTTTTCTGCATGACACGAACTGTAATGTCAAGTGAATGTTTTCAAAAGTTTCAATTTTTAGAAAAGGGTTTTTTTGTTTTGTTTTGTTTTGTTTAGATTTAAAAGACAACAGAAGCTCACTTAGTAAATTTCCCTGGACAGTTTTTGCAGGAAAGGAGGAAGAGCAGGTATGTTTGTCAGAGAAGCTGAAATGTACAGGTTATTAACAATTTCATCCTCAGCCAGATATACTATACAGATACCAGAGGAAAAAAATCAAAGGAGCTTAAAATGCAAGACAAAATTGAGAAAGGGTCCAACCTTGTTGCAATTTATAACATGCCCAGGAATTCCTCTCTAAGTAAATTAAGCCATGAGAATTGGAAGGGGTGTGGCAAAAGAGCCACTATCTTCTGTCCCCAGGTCCCATTTCACTCCGACAAAGGGAAGGAGGAGAAGAGTTTGTGGCTGCCTTGGCATAAACAGCAATCAATTACCAAGGAAAGCAGTTGATGTGTTCAGAAGGGCTTGGCACCATGTGGTTAACTCCTGGGTTTCAAGCATCAAAGCTTAAGAGCCACTGGATGAGCTGATAAAAGCTATAAGGCCATGCCAGAGCAATCTTTCTGGAGGCTTTAGATGCAGAGGGCAGATAAGCACGGTTAGTAACTCAAGATTAAGGCAAATGGCACAGGATAATAAAATGAATTAAAGGGACTAGTAGACCACTGATATTTCAAAGCCTCTGTGTTATTGTGAGGTATCCTCCAATTCTAAGTGCAACAAAAGCACTGTCTTTAAGCGGAATAAAAATGACCCATACCTATGAATTCCACTCTTTTTTGAATGTTTGTGCACATTTGTTATATTAACAAAATACATATGTATTAAAAGGAGTTACTTAATCCTTAAGACCTCTAGTCATTATACAAAGTCTTTTCAATTAAAGGCCATTAAGTATGTGGGAATCCAATCACATTATTAGCTGCACTTAGTTTCAATCAAAAGGTCTTGGATAGTCCTCTTTTCCTGTGGGCTTACTTTAAATTGGTACCCATAACCCGTCTATGTCACACGTGGATAAATATTTGTTTTCTTTGAAATTATTAAATGGAGGTCTCTGCAACATCTGCTTAAAAGCATTTCATTCTAAGGAATAGACCTTCCCAGGAATCCAAATGGTCCCAAAAGTAATGGCTGGTAGCTTATATTTGTATAATTTACAAAGCACTGACAAATACACTTTATCTTCAAATATACACATGCCATTCCAAATCCTTTGTGGAATGAGAGAGAGTATGAATGAATAACAAACAAAATTCACATCAACTGAATGAAACAAGAGGTTGCTGAAGCTGTTCACCCCATTTTCAAATAAGGGAACCAAGACTCCGAAAGTTAAATGATGTGGCCAAGGTCATAAAAACAGTTAAGTGGGAGGGCTGAAAGGTGAGCCTGTTCTTCCCGCTCTAAGTTCCACATTCACTGTATATCCTGCCATGACATCATGGCTGCTTTGTGCCTGCTTTAACTCTGTGGACAAGGTCCCTAGGATTCTCATGAGCTGACAAACGTGTTTTATTTTGTATATAAATACCTGATGGCTGAATGTAACAATGTGACACATTTTATGCCAAGTGTATTTCTCCATGCATGGAATAGCCATTGCAAATAAACTTACAAGTAATGCAGCATGGGATGCATTTCTTAATATGCTTTGCAACTATACAATAGAGCATCAGAAATGACCATTGTCTCCAATGCTTTATATTGGCTAGAAAGACTCCTTGCTGCAAACACAGAATGAGTCACAAGCTAGCTTGATTCTCCAGAAGAGATTTGAGGACATCTGAAGGTTTCAGGGATTTCTGATTTTCAAACCATATGAGACATCTAGTCATCACTTGAATTTAGAATATTCCTAACATTGTTTTATAACTTGATCAAAATTTTCTAAGATTGGTGTGAACGAAAATAAGTTCCACACACTCCCCAGTGTTGCATACATACAATGGGGACCATAGAACTCACTCATCCTGGGGCATCTAAAGTTGTCTTTGAGACGAGGGACTGGGTGTGAGGACAGTCAGTTCTGTTAAAGCCTGTTCTTTTACGTTCAAGAATCTTCTAAGGGAAGTGACTGATGCTTCACACTTTCTATTTAAAAATCATTAATATTTTAACACATGTATGTGACATTCAGGAGAAAGGATCAGGGGAAGGAGGGATTCAGAAGTGTAAGAAAATGGTAAACTTAATATGTGAGAGGCAAAAAGAAAAGTAAGGCAACTTTCAAAATATTTTTCATTTCTATTAATAAACTAGGCACTATTTATTCATATAAAATTGAAATGTAAGTGTGATTCATCTCAACACAAAGTATTTTAAAATTATATTAAGTACTCTTGATTCCAAGTTTTTTAGAATCATACTTGTTTCACATTTTCTTTATAATTACACTATAAAGACCTTGAAAGCTTTTCTATAGCTCTGACACAGAAATGACTCAAGCACCTCTT